AAGTAGCCAGTGAGTGTATTACACGAGTTAAAATAAAAATAAAATGTAAGAACCCGAATTAAATTATATTTCTGTTATTGTGAAACGCTTTGGGTCGATTGTTAGTTAAATTCAGTGATCAAACGTATGTTGCTTGCGTCTGGAGAACTCGTTTCGTGGATGTTTGTAGCTGTTCTCGTCTCGGCACGCCCCTGTACGTAAAACGAGCGCATCTCTGAGTGACATCAGCATCTTTTGTTTACCAGTCAGCAGAGAGTCCCTCAGGACCACGCAGCAGCAGTAAAGGGAGAACATCCGCTGCCAGAGCACGACTGGGCATTTTTGAGGCCTCCTCTTTGTCACATAGAGAGCGTGAATTTGTTTGGTTAGCGTTTAATTACTTGCCTGTGAAAAATGTCGGAAAACGGATCCGGACCTGGAGTGGACGATACAGACGCAAAGCCAGGCAATGGAAAACAGTGAGTCACTGCATTAAGCTAGTTAGCGATCTTTATGTGTTGCGATCTATTGTGTTCATATCCTGTTGAAGGTGCATGGTAAGAGTAAAACCGTTTGTCGTCCTTGACCTCAAAGATCACAGCCGCTCGTTTTGTCTTCTTCTTCTTCTTTTTTTACTGCTGCATTAACGCCCTGCTGTGTTTTAATTTTCTTAACATTGAGCTATTTGATCGTTTGATATAACGGAGCTGCAACTGTAGTCCAATCTTTGCATGCTTCTTTCTTTATTTACATTAGCATTTCTCTGACGTACATTATTTGCTGAGTTTCTAATCACACATTAAACTTCTAAACTAAATGTTGGCTTATCCGTCAGATCAGCGGGCTCTTCGTCTGCTTCTGTCCCCATGGACGTGGATGCCAAGCCCCAGTCACACAGCTTCAGATACCGCCTCGATTTCCCCAGCATTGGCCAGTGTATCATCATCAACAACAAGAACTTTGACAGGAGTACAGGTGAGCATTTGGGCGGTTAGTTAGTTTCTGAAATTTAAACTCGAAACGAAACGGCTGTAAGTAACATCTAAAATTAATCTTCCTGATTCAGTTTCAGGCGCAAAGTGAAAGAGGTGATAAAATGTCACATATGTGAGAAGCTGTAGAGCTACACTTGGTATATACAGCAGGTCTGTGACATTTAACGTATGTAACATTAGACAAACTGGTGATCCATTTCTCTTTAGGTGAAATGATTTGACCAGCACTGCATAATATAGATGAGTTGGGTGAAGAAATTAAGGCTTTAATTTTGGAACTATACATGCAAAAGAGCTCATCAGGGTTCTGCTGCATGCATACAGTTCATAATTTAACTTAGATCTACTGAACTCCATTATGCACTTTAGACATAAAAATTGACCTAGAGCTCCCTTGTCACAAAGGGTGACTTTAGCAGGGAGCATGTCTGATTTGGCAGTTTTTACACTTGACGCAACCCCGAAGGGATTTGTGTCTTCGACTGGAATCAAACCAGTGACCTTTCCCTTCCTAAGAGAATGCATAAACCACTCCAGTATGGATGTACATTTGACATGAAGGTCTTAAAACGTGTTAAAGTGTTGGGATGTGTGTGCGGGATTTGTGCTGCTGGAGTTCAGGGCTTTAGCAATTTATATTATAACCAGTTCAGTGCAAGATATTTTATGGATCTGGACAAAAAAGCAACCACCATGTGGGTTACAGGTTATTTATTAGCTCAGTTTTGCTCTTGTTGCACTTTGTTGTTCAGCCAAGTTAGGGCCCTTACTTGAAGTAATAAACTAGTGATACAGAGACCAAAGCTGATAAAGAGGACAATGTTTGCACAACTGTTGAAACCAGTTGCTGTATTAACACATTAGAAAATGTATTTGCTTTGTTTTCTTCATGCTTAGTAAATAAAAACAGGTATGGGTGGTGCACCGAGTTAACTATTTACATAGGGAAATGAATCCAGACTAATGGTAAAGGTTAACTTTGGGTAATGGATCCATTGTCTCAAATTTTCTTTGTTAAAACTTTAATTAGGTGTCAAATGTGCCCATGTCATTCCCATACTAGTGTTTCTAATGGCAATACATCTACCCCCCCCATTTTTACTAGACGCCTTTGACACAGGGGTGTGCATGGTAGAAAGCTGGAGGAGGGGACTTCTTTGAGTGTTAAATGTGAGGTGATGCCACCTTGTTGTATGAGTGTGTGTTGAGGCTAAAGGCTTATGTTTCATCTGCCTGTTGACAAGTGTTTGTTAGGGCTTATTTGCAATGCTAATCTCTCCCATGGTAACGTGTCACATCACTGCATTGAGGCTTGAACTGAACAGTAATGGCCCACGCTGTGGAGGCAGTGCTAAAGTGTGGCTTCTCTTCTCCTCTATTCTCTATGTAGGACAGAAACCAGGTGATTCATCTCACTTCTACACCTTTGAGAGTTTATAGGTGTGGAAGGTTTAACCTTAATGCTGTGGATTCCTATTTCCTCCATTCACTGCAGGTTTATTAGATGTTCTGGTTGGATCTGTTGCAGTTCACGTGTTAAGTATCCTTGCATTTGATGACAGTAGGTTTCGGGAGCTGCCAGCACATTTTACTGTCAGCGTACTGTCAGCTGGCTCATCAGCAAGTTCAGACACATGACTCAAAGTATGATCAGGCACGCAAGGCATGGGTGTGATCTATAAGATGACTGGCACCGCAAGAGAGTATGCTTCCTGTTCAGCATTTGCTGTGGAGTATTTTGTTTGAGAATATTCAAAATGTAGATTTTATTGGGAATGAAGTCGTTTTAAATAGTGTTGCTTTTGGGTGTTGAAGCTCAGATCATTATACTGGTTGCGTGATACTGGCTTTTTTTTCCATGTACTTTCACAGATTAACCTTTCCCTCTGGTTTGTGTTCTCTAACTTTTTCTTTTTTGTCTCTCCAAAAACCTGTTTGCTGTTTTACTGTTTGAGGTAATCAGAGGGCCTCCAGGCTTGGTGGTTGAGGGCTGTGTTGTCCTGTTTTCATGTTCTTGTTTTAAAAAATAAAAAAGGTTTAACCTCATTTCAATGGGGTTGAAATGTAAATGACAGAGAAAGGAACAATACACTTTATTGCACTTTTAGCAAATATATCATTAATATACACAAATCGGCACATATTAAATAGTTTAAGAAATCAAACTTTTAGCTGATTATGTTCTCTGAAATTGTTCAGAGCCCTAAAACTGTAACGGATGGTTGGTGCCATCATTGCGCTCGAGTTCAGGCTCCTCGAAAGCTGGTGTGTCCTTCTCTGACCTTTCATCTTGTTCTAATATCTCATCCCTCACACTGCGATAAGTCTGAATCTCCTACAATTTTGAGCAAAAGTGAAGTACTCAGGAATTAGTAACTCCTACTGCCAACCATAGAGGACACTGAATCAAAGTTTTGAGGACACTGAATCAAAGTTTTGCCCATCATTTTGAAAAGAAAGCCAGAAAGCCCAGGATGTACACCTGACTATACAGATGGATATACAGGTCTCGGGTCCATGTCCCTTACGTGATAGCAATGAATAAACATCAAAATAAACATCAAATGGCAGCTTTTCATTTATCTTTGTCAGTATAGCCATGCGTTATTTGTATCTACTGAAATGGGAATATCTCAATTTTTTTTTGCCCTCTAAAAATCAGAAGTGCCCCCAAACCCCCAGTCTCAGTCAGCCTCTACATCTGTCTTTACAAACGTCCTGTAATGGTCTTAATATTCCATCAGATTTGTGTTTTTGAAAACTTGTCTGGCAGGACTAAAAGGTACACATGACTGTGTATTCAACATGCATCTCGATGTTCTCAGAGCAAACACGTCAAGTCAAGTAAACATCAGTAGTGGTTGATCCTGTACTTCCTCGTTTAGTTAGCGGAAAGGAGCAGGTGTTACCTGAACAATAACAAAGGTTCTTTTTCTGTTCATGTGCCTCATGACGAATAAGCCCTGACAGTGTGACTGTGAA